TGCTGCAGTGTGAGTGAAATTAAGCCCAGTTGTGGCTGGACCCAGACACACACACACACACACCCACACACACACACCCACACACACGCATACACACACGCACACACACTCAGTCACTCACACTACACCCAACATATTCACACGCAGCAGAAAACTGGGTACAGTTTGATGTTTGACCTGGTCATAGACAACGCCTAGTTGCGAGATGTACGGCAACTCTATTAGCTATACCAACGATAAGGCAGCGCCCAGTTAGAAGTAATTCAATTTGATACTAGATCTAAGTATTTCTAATATTAGATAAGTTTTCTAATACTATTTCGAATCACTATTCATGTCTGCTTGCTTAACTCAGTACGATATATTTAATATAAATAGCCGAAAGTACTGCAATTAAAGTGCAAAACAATAAATAAAATTCTTAGAAAAACATTGATAAACGATAAAATATGCATGAGACATGTAGTCCAAGAAAGCTAAGAGAAAAAGGCATATTAGAGACTAGATGACTTCAAAATCCGATCCTAATTGCATAGAGGGTTAACTCTTGAGGACATAACCTCAAACATAAAGCTGGAACAGAAAACGTTTTAAACACAATTAACACCCAGTTTGAACACAATCCAATTGACATATGAGTGTGTGCGTGTGTGTGTGCGTGTGTGTGTGCGTGTGTGTGTGCGTGTGTGCGCGCGTGTGTGTGTGCGTGTGTGTGCGTGTGTGTGCGATTGCTGCATAGACTTTATTACGAGCCTTAAGTCTGTGCAATCAACGGCTTAATGTGATTTGTTAGTTAGCATAACAGCCCTGTCTGGGTGCTTAGCCAGAAGCAAAGCTGGCAAGGATTAGGCGACCACAACAAGCATACAGAGAAAGAGATGACAGGAGAAGGATGAGGAGGGAGTGGGGGCGCTGCAGAGATACGGGGCAACAGGCAGCTGCTTTGGCGCCTACTTTGCACCTTTTTTTTCTCGCTTGCCTTTTGCAATCGTTTTTGTTGACATCGCCGCGCACAAGCCCTTATCCAGCCACCCTCCACCCCGCAGACCATCCTTCAACAGCTCCCTGCTCTTTTCCAGCTCTGCCGTGGCTGTTTGGGTTATGCGCGTTTTTGTTGTTAATTACAATTATGATAATGAATCTTACAAAAGACTAATTAGTATGTTAAAAATGTTGGCGCGCACAAAAGCTGCGAATTTATATTTTTACCTGTCGTCCCACTCACGTGTATATGTGTGTGTGTGTGTGTATGTGAGGGGGAGGGGAAAGGGGGGTGTATTGTTTTCAAGAGCTCTACTCTTATGTCTGTGTCCCCTTTTGAATGGGCCACAATCATAAAGCCAAAGCAACAATATCCACAGCAAGAGCAAAAATAAAAAAAAAAATCAACAAAACAGGGGAGAAATGAGTGGCTTCAACTTGATGTTATTTAATATGTTGCAAGCAATTTTGAATGCCGTTACCACGGACTATATGTATATAAGCATGTGTTTATGTGTGTAGGCAAATGTTGACCTGAAAGTATGTCAAATCATTTGAGTTCAAAAGAAATGCAAGCTTGAGTGGAATAACTGCAGTACAAACTCAACGACAGGAATAAAAACCCAATGCCAGCTTTAAGTCATGTCTAACAGTTGAAACCCTTTTTTTACACAAATATAATTAGTTGGGCGTAAGTTGTAAGAAAATGCAACTACAAGTTTTACGTAAAGAACCAGGTCAACTCGAACATCATAAAGTGCGGCCCATTATATAATTAAGACAATGATTATTTTCAAATGTACTATGCATATTATGGTTAGTTCTGTCGCTCGAATTCTTCCCGAATGCTAAGAAATAATTTGCTTGCGAGTTCTGGTTTTGTAAATGCTGACAGCATGGCTATGTATCCGTATAATTATTGTAATTAATTTGGCTGCAATACATTTTTGTGGGTGGATATGCAATGTGTGTTTGTTGTTGAGAACCAGTTAAGATTTTCTGATTCAGATTGGATTGTTGGCATTCAGGTACTTATCTAATTATTGTGGTTATTATCTGATGACGAGTTGGTTAAGTTGTTAATGAGATGATGCCGTTCATTTAATTGGCTAATTCACACGCATTAATTGCTCGAAGGTAAAAACTAATTTGCATATTGTGTGTCGATAAATATATGATATTCTAATTATAACAATTACAATGCTTACAACATTTATATTCAATTGTTGCGGTTTGTCTGTCGCAAATTAAATCCATTTCAAATGTTGCACGCATATGTAGTTATTAATTTAATTTAATTAACTGAAAATGCCGACATCGACAATTCATGGCACTAATCTGTACAAGATAACAAATTAAACACACCCACAGCTAACACACAAATACACACACACACACACAGAGAAAGCCAGACAGACATATGCAGTTTTTATGTTGTGGACCGGTTTGGCATTTGAAGTAGTACATGTATGTTGACTCTTAAAGCGATTTAGCCGCTTTGCCTGCTGCAGGCGACACATGAATTAGCCACACAATAGCGGCATCGATAACAACACGAAACACACACACACACACACACAGACACACAACAGACTTCAGCAGGTATTGGCTTTAACTCAATTCTTTGGCTCTTTTTTATTTGCCATTTGCAACCGAACATATTGTAGATTTTGATTTTCGATTTCGATTTGTGCTCGGCATGCCGACATTTGCATAGCTAACAAGTAATAATGCTATAGTCAAGCAAGCACGACTAGCAAATACCCTATTCCCAGCTCTTTGCTAATCATAAGTCCTCCAAATGAAATATACTTGATCTTGATATGAGAACTACAATTTCAAGTATGATGACTCTAGCTCTCATTTATTATCTCATTATAGTATCTGATATTGGGGGGTTATATGGACTCGGCTATTGATGCTGATTAACAATATATATATGTATATATATACGTCATGGGGTCGCAGATGGTTTTCTTTGTCTGTTGCATACATTTGCACAGCCTCAATATACCCTCAATAGCCATGCGTTCCACACACACATCGCAAATATCTAAAGCTCAACTCATAATCTGTTTGGACAACGCTTTAGAGTTGAATTTTCCGGTGACATTCAGCGATTTAGTGCGATAGTTAATTTTCTACTGACAGTCTCCAGTTGAGTCTCAAATCGATTAGTTGTGAAAAGAATCGCAGTGTTATTTTCTTGTTCAGCTTAAGTTAACTTTTTTATAATTGGAACAATTTAATGATTCGAGTTGTAATCGATTATTTAATTTAAGATATACATATAAACCGTGCAATTGAATAAAATATATGTACTTTTACAACTTACTTTAAGCTGTCTTCAATTGTGACGTCCGTTGACCTCTGTGTTGGGATAACTAGTATTAAATTCGTACAGGTTGCTACATTTAGCATATTATGGCCGGGCACTGAAGTCGAACTGGCCAACAAGCCGAAGCAAGGACAAATACGGATGGTCATTTGGACATGTGCTCCTCTCCTGTTTCCCCTGCTCCTTCCTCGTCCCTTATTCGTATTCTTCTTCTCGTCGCGCTCTCATGCATTCGCCTACCCGGATATGTGTCTGTGTGTGTGTATGTGTGTGTCTGTGTCTGTGTGTGGACATGCGGATGTTGTGCGATGCTGTTTATGCCTTTTACATTTTCTGGCGAAATGAATTCTATGCAGCCAGCCCGGCATCAGATTCAACAGAAAGCAGCAAGCAGCAAGCAGCAAGCGGCAAGCGGCAAGCAGCAGGCAACAAACAGCGCCAGCGCACTGTGAAATTTCTAACTTCCGCTTTTTGCAAAGTTGACAACATGTCCGACCAGCTGCATGCCACCCATTTCCCCACCCACCCGCTAAAACAGCCTCTTCACAGCACCCGTTGACCAATAAACTGGCTGGCTGTCTGATTCTTCACAACTTGCAGCCCGACCTTCTCATTCTTGATCATAGGCATACCCAGACTTCTATGTATTTCGATTTCTGGATGAAATTAGATACATATTTTACATTATTTTAGTCTGAATTTTATTGCTAATATAAGAGTAATTTTCAGCCGAGTAACTTTAAAACTTAGTCCTATTATTGATCAGTTATCTTATGTGAAATATTATTATTAGTTTTTATTATTAAGAAAAACAGATGAAATAATCAGAATTCAAAAACAGTTCAGTGACATTTAAGACTCTTTTGGTTTAGTGTCTCTATTATTATTGTCGATTTATCATCATCTTTGATTCTTCATTTAAAAATTTCTAACGTTATGAATATGCCGCTCTCGAGCTGAGCTAGAGGATAGAGTATTCTAACTTTGGCGCTTAATATATGGTTGGGTGCTGTTTTTTTGTGTTTTATTTGCCAACGAGCTTACAAATACTTTGGCATTACAGCTGCTGCCTCGTCCTGGCTACGAAACTATCACACACTTAAGCGCATTACGGCGGAAATTTGAGGGCACTCTGGCTATGCAATTGCGAATGCGGTGGCTGCCTCAGTAGCAGGCCAAATGCAACAAATTTAATATTTTAATGGCTGCTCCGGAGACTCATAATTGCAATAAAAGTTACAAATACTAAAAAAAAGCAAACAATATCTGTTTTGTTTCCTAACATTTCCGTTGAAAACTTCAGTGAAGAGCTTTTGTACAGCAAACCAAATACAAAATGACCTTAGGAAAAATGAAGCCAACTCAACTTGATTATTATTTCAAATTAGTCGAAAATTCAATAAAGTAAAAATCAAACTATTTTGGAATACATTTATATTTGGTTTTAGCTTTCAAACAGTTGCAATCATTTTAGCCTTGAAATTCTAGGCGACAAATAACGAGATTAAGTAAGATTCGAGCAAGACTCACACAGTAAAAATATTTTAAGGTTAATATATCGATATTCCGGCTAAAAACTCAACCATTCAGAAGATAGCACTTCTCGCTAATCGTGTGCGTTTCCCGTGGCTATTCGTGCTTAAGATTGTTATAAAAATTAATGAAGCTGTAGACAGCATTTCTTTTTATTTTGACCAAATTTTTAGTTTGTTTGCGTTTGTTTCATTTCCCTTAATAGTGATTCAAGTAAGTGCGTCTCCAACCGGTAAGTGAAAGTATTTTGCAATTGAAACTGTTGAAATCTTTTGCCAGCTTAAAGGTGAAATGTGAACTTAGCCTGGTTGGTCTGTGCTCTGCTCTGGGCATATGATAAAGTCACAGCGCCCCTCTCCCCCACCTATCTATCTACCTACATACATACATACGTACATACATATACACATGTACATATATACCGTCTACCCCCTTATGTAGCAGCTGGAATGCCCTCGGTTCCGCTTGTCGTTGCCATAATTCCCGTGCATTGTGCGTCCGCATCCGCAGCCGAAAGAAAATATTAAAATAAATTTGAATAAAAATGTCTGCAAAGATTAAATCGCCATGAGCCGACGTCGTCTGCAATTCCCAGACGTTTGCTACCAAAAAAAAAAAAAAAAAAACCCTTACTGCCCCCTGCCCCCTGCCCCTGGTCCCACCTGCCCCATCCTCTGCCTTTGGCACGCCTCTGTTTGCCTCTCAATTGCAGTTGTGCTGTTGGGATTTTTTTTGCTGCTGTTCTTGTTGTTGTTTTTTTTTTTTGTTTGGCTTATTGTTGCGGCGTTGCCGGCTTCCTCCTGAGGGTTCCTCCTGCTAGCTGCTCGCTGGCCTGGCAAAAATAATGCGTATCCGTTGCGGATTCTCCTCCTCCTCCTCCTTCTCCCATACGGCCATACTCCGTTCTTCCCGCTGCTTGCCGCACCCCCTCTCAGGCCTTAATTTGTTTATTTGTTTGCCGTTGCTCGCTTTCACCTTTAAACAATTCCATTTACAAGCGGCGACAAATTTCAGTTTTTATTACTTTTGTTGTGTTTTTTGTTTTTGTTTTTATTTCGGGGGAATCCAACGGCTCACCTTCTTTGTGTTTGTGTTTGTATGTGTGCGCCTGGACACTTACCTTTTGGCAATAACAATAAATAAGTTAATTTAAATACAATAAACACAATTGAAGCTGTCGCCAGTCGGACAGCAACTGCAGTCGAAATGTTAACCAACTACTTAACATATACAAAGTTATGCATTTCAAGATGATTCAGTTTCTTACTTACAATCGTAAAAATCATTAAGTGCTTTGCAGAATATTAAACTCACCATATATATTTTAAGCTAAACCATACTAAATTTAAATGTTTGCATAACCTTTTTCAATTCGAAACGCATTTGATTTCCTCACTTTTGATCTGCGGAAACCAGGCTAGGTGTCAACTTTCAACATTCAGCATCATAACTCAAATATGTCACAATTTATATTCGTTTTTTAAATATACTCGTACACAATATTTCATTTCATCACTTTTCAATTTGTAGACTTATTCAAATATAGGCTGCTGTACTTTATTCCCTCCCTCGCTAGTTGTTGCTTGCTTTCTTTAACATTGATGTTTACTTCAATCTAACCGCAATCTAGTCATGGATAATAATACAAACTTTTATTTGTCGGACATGGAGGATGATTGTGAACTGTATGGCATGGTTGAGATCGATCAGCTGCGCTCCGTGTGGAAGGCTCGAAGGTTCTCGATTCTGGCACACAAATCGATTGTGTCGAGCGGTCTGCTGCCGTCGATCTTTGATTGGCAGCTCATCTGGCAACTGATGCCTGCAGAGCAGGCGCACGCCGAGATGATGCTGCAGCAGCGCATCAATGATCTGGAGCTGATGAACAGTCTGACCACATCGCTGCAGCACATCTACATTTTGCCGGAGATCGGTATCGACGTGGACGTGATGAGGGGTCGACCCAGTTACAATGTCTTTGTGCAGGATGATGGCAGCATTATGGTCAAGGAGCGGCGAAGCCTGTATGTACATGTTTTTGCCACCGAGACACGGGTAGCTGCCGGACAGGAATACCTCATGGATACACTCAGTTTGTTGGCAATGCAGCAAACAACAAATCAGCAAGATTCACAGATTACCGATACTGAAAACACTTTGCTCTATACGGATGGGACGATCAAAGAGCCCACACAACTGACTAATTCGCAGGACCCGTCCGGATCTGAGGAGATGACAGAGCCCAACATCACATCGTCAAACGATGTTGAACATTCAGAAGAAGAAGAAGAAGAAGAATATGATGCTCCTACCAACGAGGGTATGAATCGAATTGAAGAGCTCAATAATATCCGGGATAGACGAATTCTTTCATTATTTTTACGTTTCTGCGACTGGTTCTGCCAAATCGTTTCACGTCTCAGGCAATAGCCAATGAACACAATCAACTCCAAAAACACCAAGTTAACAATAGACACGACACTCACTTACCGAAAAACATCCGCCTGCTGCTGTTTGCGACTCCAATTCGATTTCACTATCGAAATACACGAATACGTCTCAACCGATTCCCACAAATGACACTCCAGACTCTTCTCACGCCATCACTTAATGTACCATTGCATGGCAAACTATTGTTCCTTGTATATAATAAAGAGAAAAAAAAAAAAAAAAACAAGGATAAGACACACACACATAAGCAATGCCAATATTGCTAAAGGGTAGGGTAAGACTAGTAGCGATATTCCGAATGCAAATCGTTTGGAAAAATGGCGAACTCGAGGGTTGCCGCCCGGAAAAACCACTTGGCGGAAATTGCGCAAACACAAGACGGTGTGAAAAGTTCTTTACGCTCAAACGCATCGCGCAGCGAAAGACTCTTTGCATTGCAGCAGGAGCAGCAGCAGGAGGACAATGCTTTCATCCTATTCCTAATTTCGATTTTCGAATGTTTTGGCTGAAGAGACCCCTGGCGAAGGCAATCATCAATTCAATTACGTTGAGATTTAGTGTAAGTAAGTAGGCAGACCACAATTAATTAGTTGCCTAATATTCACAAGTAGCTTCAAAGCAAACGAATGCAAATGCTGACATCTTTAAGGCTTAAGTTGAATTTTCGACTAAAGTCGAATCTTAAAGTTGATCAGATTGGTAGTTGGTAGCTTGTATTTAAACTTGTGCCCGTTTTAGTGCCTGTTACCCTCAACTGGAAGCGACTTTCGCCAGCCTAAAAAGTGAGCCATGTTGCAAGTTACAAATGTGCATAAGATAAATGGAGCACAAAACGCTTTGAGGCAACATTAAAAGGCAACCAGGCACCAGCCGTTGCACCGCTGGCTGACAGTGGTGCCACCTGCCATTGGGTGGTTGGTTGGTTGGATGGTTGGTTGGTTGGTTAGTCTACCTGTCTGTCTAGCTGTCTGACTCCTGGCTTCCTGGCAAAAAGTCATTCACTAATGGCTCGTCAGTGCAGCATCTAGGCCCATAGAGTGTGGGGGGAGGGGGCGGAGCTGGTTGATTAGGGGGCAGGGGGCAGGGGGCATTTCTGCATGACTGTATGTACATATGTATGTAGTTATGGAGTGCGATGATATGGTCTGGCCACATCCATTTCTATGTGCACTTCAATTGGCAACATGTGGCGCTTTTATTAAAAATTCATTTAAACACACACACACATGCATATAAGGCTTCTATGGCATATAGGCAGAGGCAGACATAAATTTTAGGGGCAGGGGTCAATGGATTCGCAGCTCGCTCAATAGTTTGGCATTGGCTCCGGCTCATCTTGGCCAGCCGTCCAGCCGGTATTCGTTTCCCTTTTTTGTTTTTGTAACTCAGCCCGCACCATCCCTCGTACATCTGCCACTGGCTCTTTCCGGTTTGACCTTCAGCAGCTGCCACACATTCTTTCAATATTTAACTGGCTGCGTCAAGTCCCCAAAAACGCCTACAAATGCCAAATTCGCTGTACTTCATTCACTTCTCTTTCTTCTATTTTTAAAGCGCCATTTTCATACGTTTTTTGTTTGTTGTTTTGTGGGGTTATTTGGGAGTTTTGGAGGTCTTTGAAAAGTATTTTGACCCGCATTCGCATGGATCTATTTGATGGATAGCTAAAATACGAGTCGCTGATGGAAATGGAATTGGCAGTTGCAGCTGCCGTTTAAAGCAAGAAATTGTGCGAATGCAAATAATATCTACGAATAATACCAAATTCGTTGAAATCAATAGTATTTGACAATTTCAAATGAATATTGCTGTTTATTTAATTTAATTCCTTTTTTTGTTTAGAAATTAGCATCAATTTAGGAATCTACAACAGCAGTGAAGTTTATAAATGCCCAAAAGTGCTCGATGGATGAAATGCTTTGAACAACAGCCATAAAAAAAAGTTATTCAGACAAGATTAATTTTATTTATGGACCGAATACCTCTGTAGGGAATTAAAGCATATGTTTCACATATATAACAATACCAAATATAAAATCGATATAGTTCTCAAAACTTGACCACATATTCCCTGTCGTGTTTTGAACAAGTGTCGAGAGTTAACTACTAAAAATTCTCAAATCCATTGATTACTAGACAAAATTTAACTTGAAAGCCGAACCAGAAGAAATAAGATAAATTAAGTCCGTGAAACTTGTCTCGATTGTGAACTTTATTAGGGAACTTAACTTAACTTACATATATATAAACATATAGAAATAAATGTTTGTGTGAGACCAAAGTGAAAGCGAGAAAGTCTCTGATCCAATGTGTCAAGGTGAATGAGAGCTAAATCTGATGCAGGCTTATTTGTAATGGGGAGGAAAAGAGGAGGGCTGAGGGGAAGATATATAAGAGTGAACGTGAAGCCAAACAAAAACGCAAATATTTTCCATGCTGGTCAAGTCGAGTGAATTCGTTGAGTGTCCCTGGCACGAAATGGCAAATGAAGTGGAAGCAAGGAATTTCACACACTGTGAACTCTGGCCCGACTTCTATCCTCCCCCGCATCCCGTATTCGCTACTGTCCACATGTGATTGTGAATGATGGAGGATGAGCAAATAAGCCAACAAATAAACAGGAGAACAACCAACCAAACAAATAAACCAACCAACCAACCAACAAACAAACAAGCAATGCGAAACGAAACGAACAGCAAAATACAAATAAACCAAAAAAAAAAAAAATAAGTAAAATAAACAAAAATAAATAAAAAAGTAAAAAAACGAAGGGCAACAAGTGCGGGCAAGCAGCAGACACTGGGTTTCAAAGGAGGGATGCTTGAGGAGGTATAGGAGGGATGGGGTCGGGGAAGGGGGAGATTGTTTGCTAAATTTTAACTCGAAAATCACATAAACTGAGTGTCCCTTGGCCGACTCGTTCGTTAGAGCCATTGTATTGTCGTTCAAGTGACGAGACACGCTTCACCTTGACACCCCCCCGCCCCTGGAAAACCCTATTCAAAATACTGTACATACCTAGCCTCTAAACACTGGCAAAACTCGCAAACTGGCGTCGCATCAAAAAGCTACTTCATTATTACGCTCGATTGTTTACTTGTTGTTCGTTTTGTTGCTGTTGTTGTCGTTGTTGTTGTTGTTGTTGTTGTTGTGGTTGTGGTTGATGTTTCTCTGCCTGGCGGTCACCACTATACTGCACACACACTTACACACACTCACTTCAACTCAGGTTGCACGACTGCCCAATACCCTGTGACCACGCGCAAGTTGCGCGGAACGAGAAATTACGCTTCTTTTTAAGAACTTTGTCTAAAGCGAAAGTCATAACGTTTATTACTAATAATCTGAGCCTTCACTTGCAATCACTTATGGGATTGTAGTCAAATATTACGTATACGCAGCATTTTTCTCAAACTGTTATTTATGTCGAGGTGCGAATTGTGCGAATGAGGTTTCTATGGCTGCCGAGTTTAAAGCATTTGGTATATACAATCTGTTCTGATGTGCTTGGAGCATTCTTTCTCATTATCACAAAATTGGCAGAGTTCGTTACTGATATACCAAGGTTAGCTAGGTGACTTCTTAGTCGACAATGTCCTCTCAAGAGACCGGTAAACTTCTAAGTCTGTTCTTCATTTTTGATAATAGCCTCCTATATCTAGCTCCTCAAGTTTGGGTTGTATCACTAAGCCTATTGATTGTATGTATATCCCGTTTGCCTTTTTGTTAACAGAGTATTAAAACACACAGACAGGTAACTGGGCAGCTAGTGAATGTGTGACCGAATGTGCTGTGCAACGGAAAGAGTCAAACATTTCATTTGTTGTCCTTCACATTCCCTTTTCACACTAGCGCAGCGAAAACAAAGCGAATGCCCCAAAATGCTCCAGCTAAGAAGCTAAAGCAGGGAGCAAACGCACAGAGCGAGAGAGAGAACGAGAGAGAGAGCAAGAGAGAGAGAGAGAGAGAGAGGGATAGGGAGTACGGAGACGAATGGAGGGTAGTCGTTACCTTTCGCATTGCAATGTGTGCAAGGTCCCACACCGTACACCCCCCTCACAGGCCCGCTCGCTAGACCGCAACTTTAGCTGTCTGTCAAATATGCTGGAGAAATATTTCAAATTGTGGCTGCTAAAAATTGAACGTCCTGTGCGAGGACAAGGACTACAATAGGATTGTCCACCGCTGGGAGCTGCTGCTGGCCCTAAAAATTGGCAAGCACTCTGACAAACGCTGGCAACCCTGGCCGCCTCCTGCCACGCTATTGTGTGTGTGTGTTTGTATTCATTTCATTTATTTATTTGGTATTCAAAGCGCAGTTCGGTTCAGCTTGCCACATGCCACATGCCAGTGGGGCAACCACATGGGCAGACCAACACGCCAAGAATTTCATTATTTGCACCTTTTGTGCAATTTTCAAGCACTTCCTTCACACTCGCAACTCTTCAATTATTCATTTTCCGACATTTTAGTGAGTCATTTTATTTTTATTCCTTTGCTTTACTGCTCATTTTGGGCCCCTCCCCGTGACTCTGGGAAGACATGGAGCAACTTGTTGTTGTAGGCTAATCTGTAGCTTAAAATACTAGAAAAAATATTTGTTTTTTCACTAAGCTGATTTGTTTTTCTGCCAAGTGTTAAGAATATGTTTAACGTTTTACAGGGTATCTTGAAGTTCAACGCACTTTCTATTATTATATATACCTTAGAGCATCGTATAAAACTAAATAGTATAATATTTTGATTGCTTGCAATTAGCTAAGTGATTGTAGCTCTTTCAAATTTTTAAAACATATGATCGAATTTTTGACTGATTGTTTGCTTCTGGTGCGCGCTTGGAATAAATCCTGAAGCACTAGGACAAAGAATGTGAGAACGTAAATAATTGAATACTTTCAAATAGAGACAGATAGGGATAGATAATTCAATATTCTCGAACACAGAGATAGACAGATATGGATACGTCTTTGCAGAGCGAAACTTATTGATGTGCAGCAAAATAAAAAGGGAACGGCACACACATTTGAAGATATTGTTTTGTATTGTTCGTAATGAATTAATATACATTTTGTAAATCTGATATAAATTTGAATTTTTATAAAATTTTCATTTCCTGTCTACACCGCGCTGCCCGCTCAATTTCCGTGCTCTTTGCTGTGTCAGGGGTAGAAAAATGTGCGAGTAAAAATCAATTTAAGTCAAAATTA